AGCGCCTGTCGGGGGTCGAAGGGCCGCTTTCTTACAGCTTTACCCTAATGCCCCGAACCTGAAACTCTAAATCCGAATCTCCGAAACCCTATCGAACCCTGAAACTCTAAACCTCTTAGCCTTAAGCCCTCGACCTGAATCGAACACCGCCCTACACCCCATTCTCGCCTCCTCCTCTTCGCTGTCACCCATCATTCCGAGCTTTCGAGCCTCGTGGCACCAGAGCATCGAGAATCGATCCGAGTTTTCAGGGAAGGGTGCCGCGAGCTTTGGGTGTAGAGTTAAAAAAAGTGTAGATGGGTGTAGGCAGTTTAGGGCCTTTAGGGTGTCGGCGGTTTTCGGGTCTAAGGCCCCGGGTTTTCTTGGGGTTTGGGATTCGGCTCTGAGCTTTGGGCCAGATATCGTTCGATGGCCTTGCTCTGGGGGAGTCAGAAGTCCCCGACCTCCAGGATGGGCACCTGGAAAAGAAGCCGGGGTTTTTCCTTTTTAGGGCTTTAGGGTTTAGGGTTTATAGGGTTTTGCGGGCCTTACGAAGAAGTACGTTGAGTTGAGGGTTTGGGGTTTAATGGGTCGGCTCTGGACTGGGGACTGCAGAAGGAGGCGTTGAGGCCTTTGGGGTTTGAGGTGACTGGCACCTTGCCGAGGGCAATGTCCAGCTTGCCCGAGGCTTTGTCATCATCGAATTCCTCACAACAACTGACGCAAGAGTGCTGGCACACCGACAAAACCACTCTCAGGACTAGCCGCACCCGTTCTGCATCCCAGGCGGATGCCATGGCGCCTGCTTTTTCCTGCCGTCTCCTGCTGGCGCTGTTCCGTCCACGAGTAAAATAGGACAGTGGCCTGTAGAATCTCCGCAAGATGCATCGTGCAAATTCGTGCTTGCCATCAGCCCCCGGGATCAACCGCAAGGTACCAGACACTGCTTTCTGGGACGCCTGAAAGACTTTCGCACTGGAACGGGCCCTGGCATAGCAATCGCTTCCATGAGCAGCTTCAACATGGTGGCAATATCCATCTGGATGTATATGCCACTGTCAGGGGCCCACGGCTGTGCAGAAAATGGCGTTGGACAGCATGGGATGTACTCTTTCTGGGAACCTTGGGGCCTAGCATGGGCACGGAGGTCGAAGGGCGACAATCCCTGGAAGTTTGCAGCCAAGCACTTTTCGCAAGCTCGAACCACGTCTACACCAGCCCCAAAAAATTGCGCAGGGTACATCTTTCTGGGGTCCTGTAAGACATTCCCGTCGGCACGGGGTCTGCAGGGCAGCAGTCGCTCTCAGTCTGCAGCCCAGCCAGGAGTGGACCGCAGATCCTTGCACTCCGTGGCAGCTCCTCCGTGCAGATGTCGGCCACCCCTTGAAGCTTGCTGGCACGGAGGTCGAAGGGCGGCAAGCCCTGGAAGTTTGCAGCCAAGCACTTTTCGCAAGCCAGCCCAAGTTGCGCAAGGTACCAGCCATCTTTCTGGGGTCCTCTGTGACGGGGTGTGAAGTGTAGCAGCCGGCCGCCTCAGGCCCGACACCTCTCGCAAGCCACGGCAGGCATGCCTGGGGCCCAGGGGGCAACCGCATGGTTGCTGTCTCACTCCTCCTCCTCCTCCTCGTGCAGCAACGGAAGGATCTCCAGGTCTCTGCAGGGGTCGGCCTGCCCTGGGATCCTTGCTGCAGCACACGCTGCCAGTCGCCAGCTTTCGTTAAACAACTGGCAGCATTGCGTGCACGTGTTTGCACAGCTATGAGGCCTAGGTGGCACGTTTCTCCACGCAAGCCGCCCCAGAACCTCGCGCTTCCAGCGCCGCTCTGCCGAAACCATTTCCGGGGTTAGGAAAGGCTCGTAGGGGCTATCCATGGGGGGAAGGGTGGGAGGCTGTCGGAGCTGGTCGCTTACGTTCGGCTCCACCTTGCCAGTCTCCGCCGCTTCGACTCGCTGCCTGCACGGCCGGAAGTTGCGGGGAACGCTGCGGGATCGCCTTCTGCTCCTTGATCTTGTCTCTCTGTACTCCAAGAAGGTGCTGTGCGTCCTCAGCTCGAATTCCACCTCCTCGTCGTCTTCTCCGCCGGCAGCTGCAGCAGGGGTCGCCGCCAGCTCGTTAGTGTGCGGTGGCAACGGGGGTGTCTTTGGGGAAAACTCCCGGGGCAGCTTCTGGCGCTCCCAACAACAACAGAGCGATGCTTGTGCACCGCCCATGGCTCCACAGAGGCCCGATACTACTGCGAAGGCACCGCCTGGATTTGTGAATTTCACATTCAAGGAACGGTGCAATAGTTGTTGTGCAGCTGTGGCATGCTCGTGTTGCAACCACCCTGCTATCGTGTACAACCCAAGATTCACAAGAGATGCAATGTTAGCGAAACAATTGGAAATCGAAGCTGGACAAAGCATCACCACACTCAAACCTGAAACCACGGCTAAGAGCACGCAGCCGATGCAGCCTTGATCCTCTGCGTTTCAGACATGTTCAGACAATCCATCAATGGCAACCCATGTGGGCCCCACATCGGATTGCAGAGTTTCCATTCTGAAGAGCCTGGGGCCAGTAGGCCGGTAAGGGTCGTCAGATCGCCCAAGCTCTGGCATGCAGGAATCGATTTGTTACCATGCCATGCTTGTTTGGCTCATTCCTGACCTGTCCGCAAGAAGCAGAAGCAGCAGTCCTTGCGAACGATGGTGGAGAAGTCCCCAGGCACGCCGAAGCTTAGAGGATACCGGTTGTCCTGAAGCTCGACTCTGATGACTCAGAGCGCACCATCCCCGACCGTGTGACAAGAAGATCTCGACAGGCCTCGTACTCTTGGCCCGCAGCTGCAAGCAGGAGGCGAACGGTCCTCGGGTTCGGTGCTAGAGCAGGTTGAAGGAAGGGTTGAAGGATGCCGAAGGCGGCGAGATCCGAGGCTGCCACTCAGCCGCACCGCGGACGTCGAAGTATCGAAGTGAGTAGCCTTGACAAACAGGGACAGCCGACAGATCAGGGTGTCCTGCAGTCACTGCTTCTACCGGCATCCGACCCAATGACGGCAGGCCTACATCTGACTGCATCTGACTGTGTCAACAAGATTGTAAAAAGATTGATAGCCAGACTTGAAGCAATCGCACCTGCAGAGAAACGTC